ATGGAAAAAAAAAACCTTACCTGTAAAATAGAACAACAAAACCTTACCTGTAAAATAGAACAACAAAACCTTACCTGTAAAATAGAACAACAAAACTTACCTGTAAAATAGAACAACAAAACTTACCTGTAAAATAGAACAACAAAACTTACCTGTAAAATAGAACAACAAAACCTTACCAGTAAAATAGAAAAACAAAACCTTACCTGTAAAATGGAAAAAAACCTTACCTGTAAAATAGAACAACAAAACTTACCTGTAAAATGGAAAAAAATCTTAACTGTAAAATGGAAAAAAACCTTACCTGTAAAATGGAAAAAAACCTTACCTGTAAAATAGAACAACAAAACTTACCTGTAAAATGGGAAAAAAACCTTACCTGTAAAATAGAACAACAAAACCTTACCTGTAAAATGGAAAAAAATCTTACCTGTAAAATGGAAAAAAACCTTACCTGTAAAATGGAAAAAAAAACTTACCTGTAAAATAGAACAACGAAACCAAAGACGAAGTGCAGAGGATGCAGGAGTAAAGCGAGAATAATTCGACCTTTCCATTTGAGCCAAGGTTCTGTTATAACACCCAGGGTAGCCATCAGAGACGTTGCCATGGTAACTGCCCCAGGAACCAAACAAGACAGCCATTTCAGTGGCCAATCTCTTGGAATATAAATGGTTTTTTAAATTTGTTTTTTTTTTAAATTTTTTTTTATTTGAGTACAGTTTTCAGCAGATAATCCGTCACTGCAATACGAAAGTGGTAGGCTTGATCCGGAATCAAAATAAAAACTAGAGGCAATTTAAAAACAAATTCTCAATTTCCATCCAATCCATTAACGAGACAAAAATAAAACACAGCAATCAATGGTTTGTAAGGTTAGAAATAAGAAATGGTGTCACTGTGTGTGACGTCAATCAGAGATCACTGTAAACAACAGGACAGACATCAGCACTGTAAACAACAGGACAGACATTGAGAGGACTGTAAACAACAGGACAGACATCACATAGCACTGTAAACAACAGGACAGACATCAGCACTGTAAACAACATGACAGACATCACATAGCACTGTAAACAACAGGACAGACATCACATAGCACTGTAAACAACAGGACAGACATCACATAGCACTGTAAACAACAGGACAGACATCACATAGCACTGTAAACAACAGGACAGACATCACATAGCACTGTAAACAACAGGACAGACATCACATAGCACTGTAAACAACAGGACAGACATCACATAGCACTGTAAACAACAGGACAGACATCAGAGAAGAATACAAACAACATAAATCAAAGAGAACACACATTACAGGTGTTTTTATCAGCAGAAAATCCTCGTGAAATTAAAAAAAAAAATCACTTACTCTAACACGCTGGATGGCTGTTGTGGGAACGTTGTGTTCCTGGAGAGGGAAACGTTAAGTCATTGAGTACTTTAGATGGCCAGGTCATAGAGTACTTTAGATGGCCAGGTCATAGAGTACTTTAGATGGCCAGGTCATAGAGTACTTTAGATGGCCAGGTCATAGAGTACTTTAGATGGCCAGGTCATAGAGTACTTTAGATGGCCAGGTCATAGAGTACTTTAGATGGCCAGGTCATAGAGTACTTTAGTTGGCCAGGTCATAGAGTACTTTAGATGGCCAGGTCATAGAGTACTTTAGATGGCCAGGTCATAGAGTACTTTAGATGGCCAGGTCTTAGAGTACTTTAGATGGCCAGGTCATAGAGTACTTTAGTTGGCCAGGTCATAGAGTACTTTAGATGGCCAGGTCATAGAGTACTTTAGATGGCCAGGTCATAGAGTACTTTAGATGGCCAGGTCATAGAGTATTTTAGATGGCCAGGTCATAGAGTACTTTAGATGGCCAGGTCATAGAGTACTTTACATGGCCAGGTCATAGAGTACTTTACATGGCCAGGTCATAGAGTACTTTAGATGGCCAGGTCATAGAGTACTTTAGATGGCCAGGTCATAGAGTATTTTAGATGGCCAGGTCATAGAGTACTTTAGATGGCCAGGTCATAGAGTACTTTAGATGGCCAGGTCATAGAGTACTTTAGATGGCCAGGTCATAGAGTACTTTACATGGCTAGGTCATAGAGTACTTTATATGGCCAGGTCATAGAGTACTTTAGTTGGCCAGGTCATAGAGTACTTTATATGGCCAGGTCATAGAAGGTATTTAGTGTAGCTAGTTTTGTGTGTAGGTTTAGGTAGACCCGTGAGTCGGGGTATAGCTGGTATGTGTGTCGGGGTATAGCTGGTATGTGTGTCGGGGTATAGCTGGTATGTGTGTCGGGGTATAGCTGGTATGTGTGTCGGGGTATAGCTGGTATGTGTGTCGGGGTATAGCTGGTATGTGTGACGGGGTATAGCTGGTATGTGTGTCGGGGTATAGCTGGTATGTGTGTTGGGGTATAGCTGGTATGTGTGTCGGGGTATAGCTGGTATGTGTGTCGGGGTATAGCTGGTATGTGTGTTGGGGTATAGCTGGTATGTGTGTCGGGGTATAGCTGGTATATTGTGGGGTATAGCTGGTATGTGTGTTGGGGTATAGCTGGTATGTGTGTCGGGGTATAGCTGGTATATTGTGGGGTATAGCTGGTATGTGTGTTGGGGTATAGCTGGTATGTGTGTCGGGGTATAGCTGGTATGTGTGTCGGGGTATAGCTGGTATGTGTGTCGGGGTATAGCTGGTATGTGTGTCAGGGTATAGGTAGACCCGTGTTTATTTGACTTTACTTACATGTCTAGGCGACGCTATGTTTGAAGGCAGCATAAGGAAATGCACTCAATTTCCGGAAGTAATTTTTTTTATGTGAACTGCGTCATAGATACCGATATAGGCTTACTAGACTCTACTTACCAGCATATTTTTAAAACAATGTGGACGTCCATAAAATTAAATAAAATATCTTATAATGTTACACGCATCGTAAAGAGAAAAGAATACAATTTTCTATCAACTTTAATAAATATATGTATATGCACATCAATGTATATAACTATAAGCGCCATGTCTTGACTAGGATCTGTTGATCAAATACACCCACGATCATCACCCCCCACCACACACACAACACCCTGTAACAAATGATAAAGCACTTCCCAATTCCACCTCCACACACATTCTCTCCCTCCACCCTCACACACATTTCCTCCATCTCCACACCCATTCTCTCCCTCCACCCTCACACATATTCTCTCCCTCTTCTCTCCCTCCAACTCCACACATATTCTCTCCCTCCACCCTCACACACATTTCCTCCATCTCCACACACATTCTCTCCCTCCACCCTCACACACATTCTCTCCCTCCACCCTCACACACATTTCCTCCATCTCCACACACATTCTCTCCCTCCACCCTCACACATATTCTCTCCCTCTTCTCTCCCTCCAACTCCACACATATTCTCTCCCTCCACCCTCACACACATTCTCTCCTCCACCCTCACACACATTCTCTCCTCCACCCTCACACACATTCTCTCCACCCTCACACACATTCTCTCCTCCACCCTCACACACATTCTCTCCTCCACCCTCACACACATTCTCTCCTCCACCCTCATACACATTCTCTCCTCCACCCTCACACACATTCTCTCCTCCACCTCCACACACATTCTCTCCTCCACCTCCACACACATTTTCTCCCTCCCTCCACCCTCACACACATTCTCTCCCTCCACCCCCACACACAAATTCCTAGACCCTCACACGTATGCTCTCCTTTGCTCTTTGAACCATGTGAACGATCCCAGTTCTATATTGAGTGCAAGGATCGTGCCTAGAGGCGTCGCGAGGCGGGGGCCGGGCAGACCTCAACGGCTGACACCATTTAGAGGGGTGACACCAAAACAAAATAGTTGCAGCATTTATAGAATAATTATGTTTTTTATCATTTCAATGAATGGTTAATCATAGTTTTAAAAAAATATTTAAGTACATAATGACCATCGTGAAAAGAGAGGACACCATTACGTAAACATGCAAACTATAGAGAAAACAATACAACACCCAGCTTTATTAACAACCGACTATAGATAAATATCGGTAGAACTAAATGTGAACACTTTACAGCTTTTTTGTGGGGGGGGGGGGGGGGGCGTGTATGACACCAACTGGAAAATTTACTGAGGAAAAAAGAGGTGACACCATGAGGTGCCGCACCGGGTGACACCCGACCTAGCGACGCCACTGAGCGTGCCCATATTATTTTAACCCGAAAAATCAAGTTCAAATCGTGTTTTATTGATGACAAAAACAAACAAGATTGTGTAGATTTGTTGAGTAAAATGTTGATTTTATTTGACCAGTGTTCAAGTAGTTGAATGTGTGACATGTTTACAGTTGTGAATGTATGACATGTTTACAGTTGTACTCAGTTGATCGAGAACAGACGACTGCATGTCACCGTTTAGCAGATTTCTCTGCCCCAGACGTCAAAATGTCACCATTGAGTAGGATGGCCTAACTTCCATATATCTGGTTACAAACAAATCTGTCAGACCAATAAGAAAGATGGCTTGACCAGCAGTAACAACAAGACGGCATACACTTGGTGGATAACAAACCAATCACAATGAGAACATCAAAACAAGAGTGTTTGCCCCTGAGCATCTCACCACGCTCTGCTCCGGTCAGAGATTCCCAGACTATTTACAGCTGTGCCTGGGTCAAACAATATTTTGAAAGGAAAATAAGACCCGACTATGGGATAGCATAGAGATAAAAAGTTACTTTGTGAAATACCTATTTTTTCATATTTAGAACTGTTTTCATGTATAGAGAGAAACTACTAGAAGTGCAACCGAGCTTCTCCGTGGTTTAACAATGCGGCCAGTAGTTGTTTTGATAACCTGAATGCATACCTCACGGTGGGGGGGGGGGGGGGGGGGAGGCGCTTCGATAACCACCACAATGGACGAAAATATATATAGAAACTATACACTTTAACTGTCACCGCCACCCCCCCCCCCCCTCCCATCTACCAAACAAAAACGCCGGGAAAAAAACTAAACCCAACCAAAAAGAAAGTTGTTGGAATTCTGTAGGTTCTAGACGTAGGAATTCTGTAGGGTCTAGACGTAGGAATTCTGTAGGTTCTAGACGTAGGAATTCTGTAGGTTCTAGACGTAGGAATTCTGTAGGTTCTAGACGTAGGAATTCTGTAGGTTCTAGACGTAGGAATTCTGTAGGTTCTAGACGTAGGAATTCTGTAGGTTCTAGACGTAGGAATTCTGTAGGTTCTAGACGTAGGAATTCTGTAGGTTCTAGACGTAGGAATTCTGTAGGTTCTAGACGTAGGAATTCTGTAGGTTCTAGACGTAGGAATTCTGTAGGTTCTAGACGTAGGAATTCTGTAGGTTCTAGACGTAGGAATTCTGTAGGTTCTAGACGTAGGAATTCTGTAGGTTCTAGACGTAGGAATTCTGTAGGTTCTAGACGTAGGAATTCTGTAGGTTCTAGACGTAGGAATTTTGTAGGTTCTAGACGTAGGAATTCTGTAGGTTCTAGACGTAGGAATTCTGTAGGTTCTAGACTGTCATGACAATGACATGTTTGATAGATGGAAATAACGACTTAGAGAGCTCAACATTTATATCCAAACGTCTAGCTTGGGGGGAAGGGGTGCGTGATCTAGAACCCCTGTTTATTTGGTCTAGCGGCTGGTAACAATTGAAATGCTTCATTCCTTTAAATGCACCACACTAAAAAAACCACCATAACAGTGCTAATGTAACAATAAAAAAAACATTAAATAGTTGCACAATAATAACATAGAATCATAATAGCATTGAATTAATTATAAAAAATAACAATAAAATAAAAATGTACTGATGTAACGAGTATTGATTTACGAATTGTGGAGGGGGGGGGGGGGAAATATTTTACGTGGCATAGGGTTGTCTATTTAAAGAACCTGATTTTATTAAAAGCAGCCAGCCAAAATTATCTTTAGCTTCAACAAGCCTAGCATTGAGCAGCGATCTACCACGAGCGAAATGGATCTTTCATATCTCTCTCGGTGTCTTTCTTTCTGCCTCCTCCATTTTTTTAAACTTTCTGAAATTATAGTTCCCCCCTCCCCCCATATTATTTTTTTTTTACTTGCAATGATCGTCGTTCATCCATTTTACATGTAGCCTACAGGTAAAGTAAAGCTTAGCTGGATGGAAATACTATCCGTTAAAAAATAAAGTTTTAAGTTTCATGCAAGTTGCCATATGGGTATATCGTCTCTATTGTTGTGATATTTCTTTCATCGACATACGTACGTCATCCTTTACAATAAGCGATGTCTTGATAGGTGGACTCACCGAGTAGAGAAAATGTAATGCACAATTGAAGAGGTAAACATCAACTTAACTTAGTAGCTGTACAATTGAACAGTGCACCGTTTTGATAACCATTAAACGCTGCAGTAGTTAACTGACTTGCGCACTAACTGTAAATGTGTACAGCTAGCACAATGCACATTCAAAATACGTTGTTAAAGAGTGCGCCAAAAATGTGAACTACGACCAATATACAGCTGTCGAGCAGATCATTCCGTTATGGACGTATGGAGAGGTAGATCTAGTTCATGAACAGAATATACAACGGATTAGTGCTGTGCCCGCTATTAGCTGAGCTAGACACAGTTCATGAACAGAATATACAACGGATTAGTGCCGTGTCCGCTATAAGCTGAGCTAGACACAGTTCATGAACAGAATTTACAACGGATTAGTGATGTGCCCGCTATAAGCTGAGCTAGACACAGTTCATGAACAGAATATACAACGGATTAGTGCCGTGTCCGCTATAAGCTGAGCTAGACACATGGATATATAGTGTACTCACTCAACCACTAAAGTTTAAAAATAGCCGTAGTTAGACCACCTTTGTAAAGACAATGCAAAGACTATTAATACATCCTGCGTAAAGATCACGGCCAAGTTCTTTAACGCAGCCACCGAAGTAGGTGTTGAGAGATGTTACAGACTGTAGATCGGGTGGCCTCAGCAGTGGTCAAATGTTTAGCTGTGGAAATGTTTAAATGCTTCAGTTGATTAGTTGTAGAAATGTTGAGAATGTTTCAAATGTTTGGCTGTAGAAATGTTTCAACTGATTAGCTGTAGAGATGTTGAGGCTGTTGCTGGAAGTCCACAAACTGCTCTAGACCCCTCTCTGTGCATGGCGTGGATGTAACAGTGGAAGGAAGCCCTCAAGTCAGTTTCTACGGTTTCGTTTTCTGTGTTTCTCGTCTTTTTGGTAACATTTGTTATCACATCGGCATTTCTTGAGCCACAAGTACTTCATCTCCAACCTGTGACGTCCCTGGCACTGAGGAAATAAAAGAACTTGAGCACTGAGGCAATCCCGTGAATCACATTTCGATCGATAAAAGAAAATTGAATTCAATCAACTGTCGTAAAATCCACGTCTGTGATACTCGAGTCACTTGATAGCGTCAGCATTGTAATCATCAATGGCTGGACATCTACAGCAGTAAATATGTTCTGGCCATTGTCTTTACGTCAGTAAATATGTTCTAGTCATTGTCTTTGAACTACGTCAGTAAATATGTTCTGGTCATTGTCTTTGAACTACGTCAGTAAATATGTTCTGGTCATTGTCTTTGAACTACGTCAGTAAATATGTTCTAGTCATTGTCTTTGAACTACGTCAGTAAATATGTTCTAGTCATTGTCTTTACGTCAGTAAATATGTTCTAGTCATTGTCTTTACGTCAGTAAATATCTTCTGGTCATTGTCTTTGAACTACGTCAGTAAATATGTTCTAGTCATTGTCTTTGAACTACGTCAGTAAATATGTTCTAGTCATTGTCTTTACGTCAGTAAATATGTTCTAGTCATTGTCTTTGAACTACGTCAGTAAATATGTTCTGGTCATTGTCTTTGAACTACGTCAGTAAATATGTTCTGTTAATAAACATAGATGTTTTATTTAAATGTACTCATAAAAATATTTTAGAGTGAAACTGATCTAGTGAATGTGTGCTAATGGCCGTGTTCTAGTGGCCATGTTCTAATGGCCGTGTTCTAGTGGCCGTTTTCTGATGGCCATGTTCTAGTGGCCGTGTTCTGATGGCTTAGTGGCCATGTTCTCGTGGCCATGTTTTAGTGGCCGTGTTCTGATGGCTTAGTGGCCATGTTCTAGTGGCCGTGTTCTGATGGCTATGTTCTAGTGGCCGTGTTCTAGTGGCCGTGTTGTAGTCGCCATGTTCTAGTGGCCATGTTCTAGTGGCCATGTTCTAGTGGCCATGTTCTAGTGGCCGTGTTCTGATGGCTATGTTCTAGTGGCCGTGTTCTAGTGGCCGTGTTGTAGTGGCCATGTTCTAGTGGCCATGTTCTAGTGGCCATGTTCTAGTGGCCGTGTTCTAGTGGCCATGTTCTAATGGCCATGTTCTAGTGGCCATGTTCTAGTGGCCGTGTTCTAATGGCCGTGTTCCAGTGGCCATGTTCTAGTGGCCGTGTTCTAGTGGCCGTGTTCTGATGGCTTAGTGGCCATGTTCTAATGGCCATGTTCTAATGGCCATGTTCTAATGGCCATGTTCTAATGGCCATGTTCTAGTGGCCATGTTCTAGTAGCCATGTTCCAGTGGCCATGTTCTAGTGGCCATGTTCTAGTGGCCATGTTCCAGTGGCCATGTTCCAGTGGCCATGTTCTTATGGCCATGTTCTAGTGGCCATGTTCCGGTGGCTATGTTCTGATGGCCATGTTCTAATGGCCATGTTCTAGTGGCCATGTTCTAGTGGCCATGTTCCAGTGGCCATGTTCTAGTGGCCGTGTTATAGTGGCCATGTTCTAGTGGCCATGTTCTAGTAGCCATGTTCTAGTGGCCGTGTTCCAGTGGCCATGTTCTAGTGGCCGTGTTCTAGTGGCCGTGTTCTGATGGCTTAGTGGCCATGTTCTAATAGCCATGTTCTAAAGGCCATGTTCTAGTGGCCATGTTCCAGTGGCCATGTTCTCATGGCCATGTTCTAGTGGCCATGTTCTAGTGGCTATGTTCTAGTGGCCGTGTTCCAGTGGCCATGTTCTAGTGGCTATGTTCTGATGGCCATGTTCTAGTGGCCATGTTCTAGTGGCTATGTTCTAGTGGCCATGTTCCAGTGGCCATGTTCTAGTGGCTATGTTCTGATGGCCATGTTCTAGTGGCCATGTTCTAATGGCCATGTTCTAGTGGCCGTGTTCCAGTGGCCATGTTCTAGTGGCCGTGTTCTAGTGGCCGTGTTCTGATGGCTTAGTGGCCATGTTCTAATAGCCATGTTCTAAAGGCCATGTTCTAATAGCCATGTTCTAAAGGCCATGTTCTAATGGCCATGTTCTAATGGCCATGTTCTAGTGGCCATGTTCTAATGGCCATGTTCTAGTGGCCGTGTTCTAGTGGCCGTGACTAAGCTGGTGCCTACCTGAAACTCCATAAGGCGTGTCCGTGTCTTCTGTGGGTAACAACACTTATTGCTCTTGCAAGTGGTGCAGAACTTGAGCTTGTAGGCCTTGACTGACACACAGTGTTTGTAGTGAATGTCTTGGTAGTGGATGTGGTGTTTGTCGATGCTTCTAGTTGTTGGGGTACACTTGGTTAGGCCCTGGAACAGAAAGTTTGGCTCAGTTGTTGGCCCAGTTAAAGAGTTGTTGGCCCTGTGAAAGAGTTTTGGCCCTGTGAAAGAGTTGTTGGCCCTGTGAAATAGTTGTTGCCCCTGTGAAAGAGTTGTTGGCCCTGTGAAATAGTTGTTGGCCCTGTGAAATAGTTGTTGGCCCTGTGAAATAGTTGTTGGCCCTGTGAAAGAGTTGTTGGCCCTGTGAAAGAGTTGTTGGCCCTGTGAAATAGTTGTTGGCCCTGTGAAATAGTTGTTGGCCCTGTGAAATAGTTGTTGGCCCTGTGAAATAGTTGTTGGCCCTGTGAAAGAGTTGTTGGCCCTGTGAAATAGTTGTTGGCCCTGTGAAATAGTTGTTGGCCCTGTGAAATAGTTGTTGGCCCTGTGAAATAGTTGTTGGCCCTTTGAAATAGTTGTTGGCCCTTTGAAATAGTTGTTGGCCCTGTGAAATAGTTGTTGGCCCTGTGAAATAGTTGTTGGCCCTGTGAAATAGTTGTTGGCCCTGTGAAATAGTTGTTGGCCCTGTGAAAGAGTTGTTGGCCCTGTGAAATAGTTGTTGGCCCTGTGAAATAGTTGTTGGCCCTGTGAAATAGTTGTTGGCCCTGTGAAATAGTTGTTGGCCCTGTGAAATAGTTGTTGGCCCTGTGAAAGAGTTGTTGGCCCTGTGAAATAGTTGTTGGCCCTGTGAAAGAGTTGTTGGCCCTGTGAAATAGTTGTTGGCCCTGTGAAAGTGTTGTTGGCCCTGTGAAATAGTTGTTGGCCCTGTGAAATAGTTGTTGGCCCTGTGAAATAGTTGTTGGCCCTGTGAAATAGTTGTTGGCCCTGTGAAATAGTTGTTGGCCCTGTGAAAGAGTTGTTGGCCCTGTGAAATAGTTGTTGGCCCTGTGAAAGAGTTGTTGGCCCTGTGAAATAGTTGTTGGCCCTGTGAAAGTGTTGTTGGCCCTGTGAAAGTGTTGTTGGCCCTGTGAAAACAGCGCGCCTGTTGTTTTATTTGTCAGATCTAGAAAAGGATGAAGGACAGGCGTCTGCATTTATCAAGCATGTAATCTAAAGGGAGGCAATGCTGCTAGAAAGTTCCAATCTTGTGGAGAACTTTAACTTGTTCCATTTAGGATTGGTTTCATCACTTTATTGATGAGAGGAGCAGGTGAGGCACCACCAGAAGTAGTAAAGCGCTCCCACTTCCGGTCGGCTAAAACCGTCTCTCCCGTGTAATCGGCTACAGCTTAACTCAGTCGTTTCTGCATTTTCTATCAGCTTGGCAGCCGACATAACTGTATGTTGTCTGCCTGTTTAATACTACACGGCAGAAGGTTTACGAAAATACCGAATACCACTACATCCTAGTAGGCTATGCTGAGTCTGACTTAATTAATTTAATACTATGATGTATTTTATATCACAAAACGCCAAATATTTTAAATTCATCATAATATTTAATCAGCAATCTTTTCTCAACCCACCCAGCCCCCTTCCGATCTCATCTGAAGTTGATGTGAGAATTTCATCATTTTATTTGCCTTATTTCGATTTTTTTACTTTCTCGTATATACGAAGTATAGAGAAAGTATTGTAATCGTGCAAAAAAAAAAATCGAGATTTTTACAAATCTCGACGTTTTACACCTCACTGATACGGAAAAACATAATTTTGCAATCTTGTCCGTATGTCTGTGTGTGTGTGTGTCTGTGTGTCCGTGTGTAAACACGATTACTTGAGTACCGTTACAGCTAGGTTGATGAAATTTCATATATAAGTATTTTATCAAAATCGTAGATCCGTATCAACTTTTGAGCGATTTTCGATAACCGGAAGTGGTACTTTTCCTACTTTGAATTTTTCAAAAGTCTATAACTTGAGTACTATTTCAGATAGATACATGAAATTTCACATGTAAGTAAAAGATCTAATTCTCTACCTTTTGTTAAATTTTGAGTAATTTCCGTTGACTGGAAGTAGTAATTTACGCTACTTTCGATTTCTCAAAAAACTAATGTAAATTTTAGAAGTACTAATAATATTGCGCACTATTATGCGCTTTTTTATTTGGCGTTCACTTGGTGTGCAATTAATTTGTCTACGAGATTTTATTCTATTTTTAAAACTTAAAGTATTTAAAATGGATTAAAAATCATGTCTATAGCCCGAGTTCCCATCCCCTGTTATTTTATATAAGAATATTCGAGAAAGTTTAGGGGAGATCACTCCCGGTTTATTTTGTATAGGCCTACTTGATATTTGACAAAGTTGTAAAAAAGTAACTTGACACTTTGCGGTGTCAGCGGTCGTGTGACACTCCTGGTATTCTACACTCAAATGGCCCACAGTTTCAAACTTACACCAATACACATTTATCACCAGATCTCAAACTAGAGAATCAGAACACGAATATCCTTCAAGCAATTTTAGCTCCCCCACCCCACTCCACGCTTTTATCGCAAATTCCGCGCAGGGTGAGTGTGTGTGGGGGGGGGGGGGGGAAGGGGGCGTTGTTTGACACTTGTCCATCCCCAGACACGAGACAAGCGGTCTGGGCACTAGACTAATATGTGCACGGCACAAGTAGCGGCCTGGGCACTAGACTAATATGTGCACGGCACAAGTAGCGGCCTGGGCACTAGACTAATATGTGTACGGCACAAGTAGCGGCCTGGGCACTAGACTAATATGTGTACGGCACAAGTAGCGGTCTGGGCACTAGACTAATATGTGTACGGCACAAGTAGCGGCCTGGGCACTTATGTGCACGGCAAAAGTAGTGGCCTGGGCACTAGACTAATATATGCACGGCACAAGTAGCGGTCTGGCACTAGACTAATATGTGTACGGCACAAGTAGCGGTCTGGGCATTAGACTAATATGTGCACGGCACAAGTAGCGGCCTGGGCACTAGACTAATATGTGTACGGCACAAGTAGCGGCCTAGCACTAGACTAATATGTGTACGGCACAAGTAGCGGCCTGGGCATTAGGCTAATATGTGTACGGCACAAGTAGCGGCCTGGGCACTAGACTAATATGTGTACGGCACAAGTAGCGGTCTGGGCACTAGACTAATATGTGCACGGCACAAGTAGCGGCCTGGGCACTAGACTAATATGTGTACGGCACAAGTAGCGGCCTGGGCACTAGACTAATATGCGCACGGCACAAGTAGCGGCCTGGGCACTAGACTAATATGTGTACGGCACAAGTAGCGGCCTGGGCACTAGACTAATATGCGTACGGCACAAGTAGCGGCCTGGGCACTAGACTAATATGTGTACGGCACAAGTAGCGGCCTGGGCACTTATGTGCACGGCAAAAGTAGTGGCCTGGGCACTAGACTAATATGTGTACGGCACAAGTAGCGGTCTGGGCATTAGACTAATATGTGCACGGCACAAGTAGCGGCCTGGGCACTAGACTAATATGTGTATGGCACAAGTAGCGGCCTGGGCACTAGACTAATATGTGTATGGCACAAGTAGCGGCCTGGGCATTAGGCTAATATGTGTACGGCACAAGTAGCGGCCTGGGCACTAGACTAATATGTGTACGGCACAAGTAGCGGTCTGGGCACTAGACTAATATGTGCACGGCACAAGTAGCGGCCTGGGCACTAGACTAATATGTGTATGGCACAAGTAGCGGCCTGGGCACTAGACTAATATGCGCACGGCACAAGTAGCGGCCTGGGCACTAGACTAATATGTGTACGGCACAAGTAGCGGCCTGGGCACTAGACTAATATGCGTACGGCACAAGTAGCGGCCTGGGCACTAGACTAATATGTGTACGGCACAAGTAGCGGTCTGGGCACTAGACTAATATGTGCACGGCACAAGTAGCGGTCTGGGCACTAGACTAATATGTGCACGACACAAAGCGGGCTGGGCACTAGACTACCCGTAGGTCTCCACATTTCTCTCACCCATGTTACCAGCTAGACCCGTGGGTCTCCACATTTCTCTCACCCATGTTACCAGCTAGACCCGTAGGTCTCCACATTTCTCTCACCCATGTTACCAGCTAGACCCGTAGGTCTCGACATTTCTTTCACCCATGTTACCAGCTAGACCCGTGGGTCTCCACATTTCTCTCACCCATGTTACCAGCTAGACCCGTGGGTCTCCACATTTCTCTCACCCATGTTACCAGCTAGACCCGTGGGTCTCCACATTTCTCTCACCCATGTTACCAGCTAGACCCGTGGGTCTCCACATTTCTCTCACCCATGTTACCAGCTAGTCCCGTGGGTCTCCACATTTCTCTCACCCATGTTACCAGCTAGACCCGTAGGTCTTGACATTTCTCTCACCCATGTTACCAGCTAGACCCGTGGGTCTCCACATTTCTCTCACCCATGTTACCAGCTAGACCCGTGGGTCTCCACATTTCTCTCACCCATGTTACCAGCTAGACCCGTGGGTCTCCACATTTCTCTCACCCATGTTACCAGCTAGACCCGTGGGTCTCCACATTTCTCTCACCCATGTTACCAGCTAGACCCGTGGGTCTCCACATTTCTCTCACCCATGTTACCAGCTAGACCCGTGGGTCTCCACATTTCTCTCACCCATGTTACCAGCTAGACCCGTGGGGACAAACTTTCGATTTGCACCCCCCTACCCCTCAAACTTTTGATTTGCACCCCCCCTACCCCTCAAACTTTTGATTTGCACCCCCCCTCAAACTTTCGATTTGCACCTCCCCCCTCAAACTTTCGATTTACACACCCCCTGTAATTTGTATTTCCAACCCATTTTGGCGCCCCCATCAGGTCGACGCCCGCCCCCCCCCCCCTTGCTACGCCTCTGCCCCCCCCCCTCATTCTTTCCTTTTAATAATGTGAAACAAAACTTTCACCCCACCATTCCCTTCAATAATGTGAAATGAGAACCCCCCCCCCCCTGCCCCCCTACCAGTTCAAATTTAAAAATGAACAATGCTTTCATTGTTCAAATAAAAAAATGGCGCAGCATGCTTAGTGTGTAGATGTTGGGGCATATATAAGTGCATGTATGTGTTACAAAACTGTTTACGTGGTAGTGGTGTTGTTAGTGGTTTTGGCAGGGGTGTTGGTAGTAGTGTTTGTAGTGGTGTTGGTAGTGGTGTTGGTAGTGGTGTTGGTAGGGGTGTTGGTAGTGGTGTTGGTACTGGTGTTGGTAGGGGTGTTGGTAGTTGTGTTGGTAGTGGTGTTGGTAGTGGTGTTGGTAGTGGTGTTGGCAGGGGATTTGGTAGTAGTGTTGGTAGTAGTGTTGGTACTGGTGTTGGTAGTTGTGTTGGTAGTATGGTGGTAGTGGTGTTGGTAGTTGTGTTGGCAGTGGTGTTGGTAGGGATGTTGGTAGTGGTGTTGGTAGTGGTGTTGGTAGTAGTGTTGGTAGTGGTGTTGGTAGGGGTGTTGGTAGTAGTGTTGGTAGTGGTGTTGGTAGTGGTGTTGGTAGTTGTGTTGGTAGTAGTGTTGGTAGGGATGTTGGTAGTAGTGTTGGTAGTGGTGTTGAGCCTCCCATAACCATATATATATATATATATATATATATATATATATAATATTTTAATCCACCCCATACGACTAATCCCGAAGTACATCTAACGCCCCCCCCCCGTACGAAATATAATATTTATAGAAAATATATACTTTTACGTGTGTTCGCGCCCTCCCCCAGAAAATTTAGCAACCCCCCCCCCCCCCCCCCGGAGAAAAAATCAGAAAGAAACACTGCGGCCGATTAATGCTAACATTAGTGAACGCAGACAAAAAGACATATCTACCATACAAAGTATATGTGGGCTTGTGGTGGCAATTTGGGGAACATTTTTTTAAAAACATTTTTTAAAAGATTTTAATCTGAACTGTTAAAAGCTACAATGTTGGAAGGATTAACTGACCTTGTTGAAAGGATGATCTGACCTTGTTGAAAGGATGAACTGACCTTGTTGAAAGGATGAACTGACCTTGTTGAAAGGATGAACTGACCTTGTTGAAAGGATGAACTGACCTTGTTGAAAGGATGAACTGACCTTGTTGAAAGGATGAACTGACCTGGTTGAAAGGATGAACTGACCTTGTTGAAAGGATGAACTGACCTGGTTGAAAGGATGAACTGACCTGGTTGAAAGGATGAACTGACCTTGTTGAAAGGATGAACTGACCTTGTTGAAAGGATGAACTGACCTTGTTGAAAAGATGAACTGACCTTGTTGAAAGGATGAACTGACCTTGTTGGCAGGATGAACTGACCTTGTTGAAAGGATGAACTGACCTTGTTGAAAGGATGAACTGACCTTGTTGAAAGGATGAACTGACCTTGTTGAAAGGATGAACTGACCTTGTTGAAAAGATGAACTGACCTTGTTGAAAGGATGAACTGACCTTGTTGGCAGGATGAACTTACCTTGTTGAAAGGATGAACTGACATTGTTGAAAGGATGAACTGACATTGTTGAAAGGATGAACTGACCTTGTTGGAAGGATGAACTGACCTTGTTGAAAGGATGAACTGACCTTGTTGAAAGGATGAACTGACCTTGTTGAAAGGATGAACTGACCTGGTTGAAAAGATGAACTGACCTTGTTGGCAGGATGAACTGACCTTGTTGGCAGGATGAACTGACCTTGTTGAAAGGATGAACTGACCTTGTTGAAAGGATGAACTGACCTTGTTGAAAGGATGAACTGACCTTGTTGAAAGGATGAACTGACCTTGTTGAAAGGATGAACTGACCGTGTTGAAAGGATGAACTGACCTTGTTGAAAGGATGAACTGACCTTGTTGGAAGGATGAACTGACCTTGTTGAAAGGATGAACTGACCTTGTTGAAAGGATGAACTGACCTTGTTGGAAGGATGAACTGACCTGGTTGACAGGATGAACTGACCTTGTTGAAAGGATGAACTGACCTTGTTGAAAGGATGAACTGACCTTGTTGAAAGGATGAACTGACCTTGTTGAAAGGATGAACTGACCTGGTTGAAAGGATGAACTGACCTTGTTGAAAGGATGAACTGACCTTGTTGAAAGGATGAACTGACCTTGTTGAAAGGATGAACTGACCTTGTTGAAAGGATGAACTGACCTTGTTGGAAGGATGAACTGACCTTGTTGAAAGGATGAACTGACCTTGTTGGCAGGATGAACTGACCTTGTTGAAAGGATGAACTGACCTTGTTGAAAGGATGAACTGACCTTGTTGAAAGGATGAACTGACCTGGTTGAAAGGATGAACTGACCTGGTTGAAAGGATGAACTGACCTTGTTGAAAGGATGAACTGACCTTGTTGAAAGGATGAACTGACCTTGTTGAAAGGATGAACTGACCTTGTTGAAAGGATGAACTGACCTTGTTGAAAGGATGAACTGACCTTGTTGAAAGGATGAACTGACCTTGTTGGAAGGATGAACTGACCTTGTTGACAGGATGAACTGACCTTGTTGAAAGTGGTTGAAACGTTGTGACTGCAGGGCCGGAGGAAACAGATCTTGATGTGCTGTATGGGCTGACAGCTGAGCGAATCAACTGTCAGTTTGACGGACACGCCCTCGTCACAGCTGGCTGAACACGGCGACCAGTTCGTGTTGGCCGGCTTGCAGATTCTTCTCTCTGAAGGCGGGAACGTTGTTGTTGGCACAGACGTCGTTGGTGTCACCACTGGGAATAGGGTACAACATACGGCTTCATATCTTATCACTAGTTCTCTCCAATTTCCCAGACATGACATCCCAGACATGACATCCCAGACATGACATCCCAGACATGACATGACATCCCAGACATGACATGACATCCCAGAAATGACATGACATCCCAGACATGACATGACATCCCAGGCATGACATGACATCCCAGACATGACATCCCAGACATGACATCCCAGACATGAAATGACATCCCAGACATGACATGACATCCCAGACATGACATGACATCCCAGACATGACATCCTAGACATGACATGAAATCCTAGACATGACATCCCAGACATGACATGACATCCCAGACATGACATCCCAGACATGACATCACAGACATGACATCCCAGACATGACATCCCAGACATGACATGACATCCCAGACATGACATGACATCCCAGACATTACATGACATCCCAGACATGACATCCCAGACATGACATGACATCCCAGACATGACATCCCAGACATGACATGACATCCCAGACATGACATGGCATCCCAGACATGACATCCCAGACATGACTTGACATCCCAGACATGACATCCCAGACTTGACATGACATCCCAGACATGACATTCCAGACTTGACATCCAAGAAATTATAGACTTGACACCCCAGATAAGATATATCTCGGACAAGATATCGCAGGGCAAGATACCCCTGGAGAAATGTTCATGCGGATCTATCAATATATCAAGATGTTTCGTTAGATTTTCTCTCTAGAAATGTTCAACTGTCAGCAAGAAAGGTGTCCATAGAACTCGACAAAAATCAAAGACACACACACACACACACACACACACACACACACACACACATATATATATATATATATATATATATATATATATATATATATATATATATATATATATATATATATATATATATATATATATATATATATATATATATATATATATATATATATATATATATATATATATATATACTAACCGTTCGATAGTGAGCCAATTACACCAACCGTTCGATAGTGAGCCAATTACACCAACCGTTCGATGGTAACGCAAATCACACCAACCGTTCGATAGTAAGCCAATCACACCAACCGTTCGATGGTAAGCCATCACACCAACCGTTCGATGGTAACGCAAATCACACCAACCGTTCGATAGTAAGCCAATCACACCAACCGTTCGATGGTAAGCCAATCACACCAACCGTTCGATAGTAAGCCAATCACACCAACCGCTCGATAGTGAGACAATCACACCAATCACACCAACCGTTCGATAGTAAGCCAATCACACCAACCGTTCGATGGTAAGCCATCACACCAACCGTTCGATAGTAAGCCAATCACACCAACCGTTCGATAGTAAGCCAATCACACCAACCGTTCGATGGTAAGCCATCACACCAACCGTTCGATAGTAAGCCAATCACACCAACCGTTCGATAGTAAGCCAATCACACCAACCGTTCGATAGTGAGCCAATCACATCAACCGTTCGATAGTAAGCCAATCACACCAACCGTTCGATAGTAAGCCAATCACACCAACCGTTCGATAGTAAGCCAATCACACCAACCGTTCGATGGTAACGCAAATCACACCAACCGTTCGATAGTGAGCCAATTACACCAACCGTTCGATGGTAACGCAAATCACACCAACCGTTCGATAGTAAGCCAATCACACCAACCGTTCGATAGTGAGCCAATTACACCAACCGTTCGATGGTAACGCAAATCACACCAACCGTTCGATAGTAAGCCAATCACACCAACCGTTCGATAGTAAGCCAATCACACCAACCGTTCGATAGTAAGCCAATCACACCAACCGTTCGATACTGAGCCAATTACACCAACCGTTCGATGGTTACGCAAATCACACCAACCGTTCGATGGTAAGCCAATCACACCAACCGTTCGATAGTAAGCCAATCACACCAACCGTTCGATAGTAAGCCAATCACACCAACCGTTCGATAGTAAGCCAATCACACCAACCGTTCGATAGTAAGCCAATCACACCAACCGTTCGATAGTAAGCCAATCACACCAACCGTTCGATAGTAAGCCAATCACACCAACCGTTCGATGGTAACGCAAATCACACCAACCGTTCGATAGTGAGCCAATTACACCAACCGTTCGATGGTAACGCAAATCACACCAACCGTTCGATAGTAAGCCAATCACACCAACCGTTCGATAGTGAGCCAATTACACCAACCGTTCGATGGTAACGCAAATCACACCAACCGTTCGATAGTAAGCCAATCACACCAACCGTTCGATAGTAAGCCAATCACACCAACCGTTCGATAGTAAGCCAATCACACCAACCGTTCGATACTGAGCCAATTACACCAACCGTTCGATGGTTACGCAAATCACACCAACCGTTCGATGGTAAGCCAATCACACCAACCGTTCGATAGTAAGCCAATCACACCAACCGTTCGATAGTAAGCCAATCACACCAACCGTTCGATAGTAAGCCAATCACACCAACCGTTCGATAGTAAGCCAATCACACCAACCGTTCGATACTGAGCCAATTACACCAACCGTTCGATGGTAACGCAAATCACACCAACCGTTCGATGGTAAGCCATCACACCAACCGTTCGATAGTAAGCCTATCACACCAACCGTTCGATGGTAAGCCAATCACACCAACCGTTCGATAGTAAGCCAATCACACCAACCGTTCGATAGTGAGACAATCACACCAATCACACCAACCGTTCGATAGTAAGCCAATTACACCAACCGTTCGATAGTAAGCCAATCACACCAACCGTTCGATAGTAAGCCAATCACACCAACCGTTCGATAGTAAGCCAATCACACCAACCGTTCGATAGTAAGCCAATCACACCAACCATTCGATAGTGAGCCAATTACACCAACCGTTCGATGGTAACGCAAATCACACCAACCGTTCGATAGTAAGCCAATCACACCAACCGTTCGATAGTAAGCCAATCACACCAACCGTTCGATGGTAAGCCAATCACACCAACCGTTCGATAGTGAGCCAATTACACCAACCGTTCGATGGTAACGCAAATCACACCAACCGTTCGATAGTAAGCCAATCACACCAACCGTTCGATAGTAAGCCAATCACACCAACCGTTCGATAGTAAGCCAATCACATCAACCGTTCGATAGTAAGCCAATCACACCAACCGTTCGATAGTAAGACAATCACACCAACCGTTCGATAGTAAGACAATCACACCAACCGTTCGATAGTAAGCCAATCACACCAACCGTTCGATAGTAAGCCAATCACACCAACCGTTCGATAGTAAGCCAATCACACCAACCGTTCGATACTGAGCCAATTACACCAACCGTTCGATGGTTACGCAAATCACACCAACCGTTCGATAGTAAGCCAATCACACCAATCGTTCGATAGTAAGCCAATCACACCAACCGTTCGATGGTAACGCAAATCACACCAACCGTTCGATGGTTACGCAAATCACACCAACCGTTCGATGGTAAGCCAATCACACCAACCGTTCGATAGTAAGCCATCACACCAACCGTTCGATAGTAAGCCAATCACACCAACCGTTCGATAGTAAGCCAATCACACCAACCGTTCGATGGTAAGCCAATCACACCAACCGTTCGATAGTAAGCCAATCACACCAACCGTTCGATAGTAAGCCAATCACACCAATCGTTCGATAGTAAGCCATCACACCAACCGTTCGATGGTAACGCAAATCACACCAACCGTTCGATAGTAAGCCAATCACACCAATCGTTCGATAGTAAGCCAATCACACCAACCGTTCGATAGTAAGCCAATCACACCAACCGTTCGATGGTAAGCCAATCACACCAACCGTTCGATAGTAAGCCAATCACACCAACCGCTCGATAGTGAGACAATCACACCAATCACACCAACCGTTCGATAGTAAGCCAATTACACCAACCGTTCGATAGTAAGCCAATCACACCAACCGTTCGATAGTAAGCCAATCACACCAACCGTTCGATAGTAAGCCAATCACACCAACCGTTCGATAGTAAGCCAATCACACCAACCATTCGATAGTGAGCCAATTACACCAACCGTTCGATGGTAACGCAAATCACACCAACCGTTCGATAGTAAGCCAATCACACCAACCGTTCGATAGTAAGCCAATCACACCAACCGTTCGATGGTAAGCCAATCACACCAACCGTTCGATAGTGAGCCAATTACACCAACCGTTCGATGGTAACGCAAATCACACCAACCGTTCGATAGTAAGCCAATCACACCAACCGTTCGATAGTAAGCCAATCACACCAACCGTTCGATAGTAAGCCAATCACATCAACCGTTCGATAGTAAGCCAATCACACCAACCGTTCGATAGTAAGACAATCACACCAACCGTTCGATAGTAAGACAATCACACCAACCGTTCGATAGTAAGCCAATCATACCAACCGTTCGATAGTAAGCCAATCACATCAACCGTTCGATAGTAAGCCAATCACACCAACCGTTCGATAGTAAGACAATCACACCAACCGTTCGATAGTAAGACAATCACACCAACCGTTCGATAGTAAGCCAATCATACCAACCGTTCGATAGTAAGCCTATCACACCAACCGTTCGATAGTAATCCAATCATACCAACCGTTCGATAGTAAGCCAATCATACCAACCGTTCGATAGTAAGCCAATCACACTACCAAGGAAGCGACAGACAAAATCGTCTTTTGTCTCTCCTCGGTCTAGTCGCTATTTGCCCGGAGCTAAACAACAGCCGGTGGTCTAACATAATCATCCAGATAAGCTCTAGTTAGGACAGCTAACATAATCATCAAGATAAACTCTAGTTAGGTGAAATACCATATCAACATAAGCTCTACTTAGGGGATCTAACATCAAGATAGCTGAGCTTATATTGTCTCTAAAATCGAATTCTAAGTAGGGAGCTAAAGAAGTCAACAAGATAGAAACGATATTTAAAATAATCTTCAACGTGAGTTTATAAAGCGAAAATAATAAAACAAATCTAAATGATGACAAAGCTATAATAAACAAAAAAAACTTACAATATTTGTGAATGAGATTTTGACTCTCAAGGCCGAGATGGACAAAGTTTGTTCCATTGGAGTCCATCTTCTGGCACGTCCATTCTCGGCAGCATTTGTTCTTTGATTTGATTAACGTCGGATCATGACAGGTCAGCTCTACAGAGGGGGGGGGGGGGGGGGGGAGGAAAGTTTTGTCTGAGGGGTGTTGTACTCACAGGTTTTACACGAGGGGTGTTGGACACACAGGTTTTACACGAGGGGTGTTGGACACAGGTTTTACACGAGGGGTGTTGGACACAGGTTTTACACGAGGGGTGTTGGACACACGGGTTTTACACGAGGTTTTACACGAGGGGTGTTGGACACACAGGTTTTACACGAGGTTTTACACGAGGGGTGTTGGACACACGGGTTTTACACAAGGTTTTACACGAGGGGTGTTGGACACACAGGTTTTACACGAGGAGTGTTGGACACACAGGTTTTACACGAGGGGTGTTGGACACACAGGTTTTACACGAGGGGTGTTGGACACACAGGTTTTACACGAGGGGTGTTGGACACACGGGTTTTACACGAGGGGTGTTGGACACACGGGTTTTACACGAGGGGTGTTGGACACACAGGTTTTACACGAGGGGTGTTGGACACACAGGTTTTACACGAGGGGTGTTGGACACACAGGTTTTACACGAGGGGTGTTGGACACACAGGTTTTACACGAGGGGTGTTGGACACACAGGTTTTACACGAGGGGTGTTGGACACACAGGTTTTACACGAGGGGTGTTGGACACACAGGTTTTACACGAGGGGTGTTGGACACACAGGTTTTACACGAGGGGTGTTGGACACACAGATTTTACACGAGGGGTGTTGGACACACAGGTTTTACACAAGGTTTTACACGAGGGGTGTTGGACACACAGGTTTTACACAAGGTTTTACACGAGGGGTGTTGGACACACAGGTTTTACACGAGGAGTGTTGGACACACAGATTTTACACGAGGGGTGTTGGACACAGGTTTTACACGAGGGGTGTTGGACACACGGGTTTTACACGAGGTTTTACACGAGGGGTGTTGGACACACAGGTTTTACACAAGGTTTTACACGAGGGGTGTTGGACACACAGGTTTTACACGAGGAGTGTTGGACACAGGTTTTACACGAGGGGTGTTGGACACACAGGTTTTACACGAGGAGTGTTGGACACACAGGTTTTACACGAGGGGTGTTGGACACACAGGTTTTACACGAGGGGTGTTGGACACAGGTTTTACACGAGGGGTGTTGGACACACAGGTTTTACACAAGGGGTGTTGGACACACAGGTTTTACACGAGGGGTGTTGGACACACAGGTTTTACACGAGGGGTGTTGGACACAGGTTTTACACGAGGGGTGTTGGACACACAGGTTTTACACGAGGGGTGTTGGACACACAGGTTTTACACAAGGTTTTACACGAGGGGTGTTGGACACAGGTTTTACACGAGGGGTGTTGGACACACAGGTTTTACACGATGGGTGTTGGACACACAGGTTTTACACGAGGGGTGTTGGACACACAGGTTTTACACGAAGTTTTACACGAGGGGTGTTGGTCACACGAAAACGTGTGTTTTAATTATCTAACATAAATTTAGTGTATGATTTAAATGTATAGCAACTTTATGACGTAGGATGTAACTTAACATTTACCAGAAGGTTTCTGCAGCTCGTGAGGACACTGGTTGATACAGCCGTAGTAGCCGTTCTGGCACGTGCACAGCTGCGAACATTCCGGCTGGAACTTCTCACCGTCCTTGTACACGACACCGTTGACATGGCAGGGGTTCTTCTCTTTACCTGCACACAAACATTGCCAGCATTTAGTTCTAGTTCAAACTTCATCAACCATGGCAGAAACATTGCCATCATTTAGATCTAGTTCAAACTTCATCAACCATGGTAGAAATGTTGCCAGCATTTAGATCTAGTTCAAACTTCATCAACCATGGTAGAAATATTGCCAGCATTAAGATCTAGTTCAATCTTCATCAACCATGGCAGAAATGTTGCCAGCATTTAGATCTAGTTCAAACTTCATCAACCATGTCAGAAATGTTGCCAGCATTTAGATCTAGTTCAAACTTCATCAACCATGGTAGAAATATTGCCAGCATTTAGTTCTAGTTCAAACTTCATCAACCATGGCAGAAATGTTGCCAGCATTTAGATCTAGTTCAAACTTCATCAACCATGTCAGAAATGTTGCCAGCATTTAGATCTAGTTCAAACTTCATCAACGATGGCAGAAATGTTGCCAGCATTTAGATCTAGTTCAAACTTCATCAACGATGGCAGAAATGTTGCCAGCATTTTGATCTAGTTCAAACTTCATCAACCATGGCAGAAATGTTGCCAGCATTTAATTTTAGTTCAAACTTCATCAACCATGGCAGAAATATTGCCAGCATTTAGATCTAGTTCAAACTTCACCAACCATGGCAGAAATGTTGCCAGCATTTAGATCTAGTTCAAACTTCATCAACAATCAATAATTAATTGTCAACGTATACTGCCAAGTTTGTGTTTTTTGTGTTTATCTTTATTTAACTGTCAACGTATACTGTCAACGTATACTGCCAACGTATACTGCCAACGTATACTGCCAACGTATACTGTCAACGTATACTGTCAACGTATACTGTCAACGTCTGTCAGTTCTCTGTTTGACGCAGGCCCAGAGAATACAGGCACGTAAGTGAGTATTGATTGGGTCAGCTGGTCCGGACACTTCTGGCCATCGGTCACATTGATTGCTCACAAGCTTTTTCTCAACTTCAATTCTGGGAATCTTAGCAGACGGCTTGTCACGTGGCTAAGTCTTGGTGGTAGTTAGTAGCTTTCCCTCTAATACACTCTTCATGTAACGCTACCCCACCACTATACCACCTCTACAAACAACTCTATCCCCACCACTATACCACATCTACAAACAACTACCCCCACCACTATACCACCTCTACAAACAACTCTATCCCCACCACTATACCACCTCTACAAACAACTCTATCCCCACCACTATACCACATCTACAAACAACTACCCCCACCACTATACCACCTCTACAAACAACTCTATCCCCACCACTATACCACCTCTACAAACAACTCTACCCCCACTACTATACCACCTCTACAAACAACTCTATCCCCACCACTATACCACATCTACAAACAACTACCCCCACCACTATACCACCTCTACAAACAACTCTATCCCCACCACTATACCACCTCTACAAACAACTCTACCCCCACTACTATACCACCTCTACAAACAACTCTACCCCCACCACTATACCACCTCTATAAACAACTCTACCCCACCACTATACCACATCTACAAACAACTACCCCCACCACTATACCACCTCTACAAACAACTCTATCCCCACCACTATACCACATCTACAAACAACTACCCCCACCACTATACCACCTCTACAAACAACTCTATCCCCACCACTATACCACATCTACAAACAACTACCCCCACCACTATACCACCTCTACAAACAACTACCCCACCACTATACCACCTCTACAAACAACTCTACCCCCACCACTATACCACCTCTATAAACAACTGTATACCCACCACTATACCACCTCTACAAACAACAACCCCACCACTATACCACCTCTACAAACAACTACCCCACCACTATACCACCTCTACAAACAACTCTACCCCACCACTATACCACCTCTACAAACAACTTTACCCCACCACTATACCACCTCTACAAACAACAACCCCACCACTATACCACCTCTACAAACAACTCTACCCCACCACTATACCACCTCTATAAACAACTACCCCCACCACTATACCACCTCTACAAACAACTCTATCCCCACCACTATACCACCTCTACAAACAACTCTACCCCACCACTATACCACCTCTACAAACAACTCTACCCCCACCACTATACCACCTCTACAAACAAACCCACCATACCTGTCTAGGTTTCGTCCATCTGTCGGTCTACGTTTCACCCATTTCTCTGTCTAGATTTTATTTGTCTTTCATTCATTCAACTGGCAACGGCAAGACATTGATTGAGTTTTTCCTGAGAGGACAGTCTGGCTGAGATTCTATTCTAGCCCCACATCCTTGCCAAGCCAATGTTTGATGTTTTGAATTGATGTTTCCTAATGTCAACAAAATAAAACCCAATAAACAAACTGGGAAGATGGCGGCTACACATGAAATAGTGAATATCGGTCTTGCTGGATGGCGTGGGGAGGGGGGGGGGGGGGGCAGGAGGGGGGGCAGGAGGGGGAGTGTTCTGCCAAGACAATGTTCTAGACAGACATGACGGTGATTGACAGACCTGACTGTGACAGAGATGACTGACAGACCTGACTGTGACAGAGATGACTGTGACAGACCTGACTGTGACAGACCTGACTGTGACAGAGATGACTGTGACAGACATGACTGTGACAGAGATGACTGTGACAGACATGACTGTGACAGAGATGACTGTGACAGACATGACTGTGACAGACCTGACTGTGACAGACCTGACTGTGACAGACCTGACTGTGATAGACATGACTGTGACAGAGATGACTGTGACAGAGATGACTGTGACAGACATGACTGTGACAGAGATGACTGTGACAGACATGACTGTGACAGAGACATGACTGTGACAGAGATGACTGTGACAGACATGACTGTGACAGACCTGACTGTGACAGACATGACTGTGACAGAGATGACTGTGACAGAGATGACTGTGACAGGCATGACTGTGACAGACCTGACTGTGACAGACCTGACTGTGACAGACATGACTGTGACAGAGATGACTGTGACAGAGATGACTGTGACAAACATGACTGTGACAGAGATGACTGTGACAGACATGACTTGACAGAGATGACTGTGACAGACATGACTGTGACAGAGATGACTGTGACAGACATGACTGTAACAGAGATGACTGTGACAGACATGACTGTGACAGAGATGACTGTGACAGACCTGACTGTGACAGACCTGACTGTGACAGACATGACTGTGACAGACCTGACTGTGACAGACCTGACTGTGACAGACCTGACTGTGACAGACCTGACTGTGACAGACCTGACTGTGACAGACCTGACTGTGACAGACCTGACTGTGACAGACCTGACTGTGACAGACCTGACTGTGACAGACATGACTGTGACAGACATGACTGTGACAGACCTGACTGACAGACATGACTGTGACAGACCTGACTGTGACAGAGATGACTGTGACAGAGATGACTGTGACAGACATGACTGTGTCATCTCACGGCACGAGCTTCCTTCCGTTCTGGCACCAATTTCCTCCCCTGGCTACTGGCGCTCACACAAATGTTTTCGTCTCATTGACTTCTAAAGCTTAGCTTCTCTTAGTCACGTCACCATCTTAATGTTGAAACCACACAATAGACTGGTCAAACCACACAATAGACTGGTCAAACCACACAATAGACTGGTCAAACCACACAATAGATTGGTCAAACCACACAATAGACTGGTCAAACCACACTATAGACTGGTCAAACCACACTATAGACTGGTCAAACCACACGATAGACTGGTCAAACCACACAATAGACTGGTCAAACCACACAATAGACTGGTCAAACCACACTAACTGGTCAAACCACACTAACTGGTCAGCTCATAAAACCACCTGATGTATTATGTAAAACTTACTATTTTGGGACGGGTGCTATTTTTTAACTTTGTAAACAAAGCACTGAATGCAAGCAGTGAGTAAAACTCTTGAACACATAAACGTGTCATTGTTAAACGTGGCTAGCAGCCGAAGCAGGAACTAGTCTAAACATAATGGAACCATATGTGAACCTAGTCTAAACATAATGGAACCATAAAAGGAACAAGTCTAAAGATGATGGAACAATAAACATCAGCGGTGGCCATACATAAAGCATCAGCCAACCAGCGCCAGTAATAAACGCTCTGACGTTTTCATCCCATGAAAGCAGTGAAGGAGAAATATTGAAGTCTTTAGAGCAGGAAGGGCTTGGGCTTGATTTATCTTGGTGCCATCACAATCCAACCCAGCCACAGAATGGAGTTAGCCAGACTTGCAATAAACGGCAACACAATTCTTTCATTGACTTCTAGTCTTAGTTAACATCCACCACCCACCACCCACCTCTTGATTTTCCTGATCAACACAATAAAACGGTGCTTTCACGGGCTGGATAAATGTGGTTAAGATTTTAAATTTACTGTGTACACTTACATACGATTTACCAATTACTGGGTACACTTGCATACGATTTACCAATTACTGTGTACACTTACAAAATATATAACATTTTCTGTGTACACTTCGATGAGACATAACCATTGTGTTCGCTTAGATAAGATATAACATTTACGGTAAACATTGAGAATACTTATAACAATTACTACAAACGTGTAAACAAAGTAAACATTTAGATAAATAATAACAATTATTATGAAACCATGGTTATCATGTGTCTTATAAGAATTACTATAAACTTTATGGTATTTTTTAACAAATCATGAACGCATCTAAAAATCTTGTATTAATGTACGATTACTTTTTTTCTAAATAATTGAAAAGTATTCTTTGTATTTCCCGTAACGTTTTCAAGCAAAAAACGGAAGCTATGTAATGTAGGTCTGATGCTTGTTAACGAATCAACTTCTCTGCTTGCGAGAGCTACGTCTAAATTACCGAATCTGTTCGAGACTTGAGCAAAACGTGCAGGGAACATAAAGACATTAGACAAACCTGCGTGCAGGGAA